GCAGCACCAATTATGTTAAAAAAGATGATGGGCATTGAAGAACCTCCATATGGAGTTTGTTTTCATTGTGTCAAAACTAGCCATTTGGACAAGAAACTGCCCTTGCCTGGACTGCTGATGGTAAGCTGTCCACACTGAAAAAGCAGGGCACAAAGAAAGTGACTACCCATCTTTGCCAAGACAGGGTAGGACAATTCTTTTAAAAATCCTGTTTCAAGGCTAGAGAGTTGTCTTAGAAGCAAAAAGCATTGGGCGTTCTTCTAGGAGTCCTGAGTTCAATTCCTAGCACCCACATGCAGCTCACAATATAACAGGATCCAATACCCTCTTCTGGTGTTCAGACAGACAAAACACACATATACATTAAATTTTTTTTAAAAAAGTCCTGCTTCACAGAAAAGTCTGTCAGATATTCTATGCATGTAAGTTGAATATGGATACTTAATTACTGAGGAACTTCAAATGACTGTTCAGACAGCCAGCTGTTTCTGTCATTTCTGTAGTTTTGGAATTACCTTGCTCTACATTTCCTGTTTACTCAGGTAATATTTTATCTTTCTTGGGTCTCTGATGGAGTTGAAGGTGAGATAGTTATAGTTACAGTTTTCTTTGTTACCAAATTCAAAAAAGAAACTCACAAAAAAGGTATAAAATGTATAACGTTGACAGACATAAAGCTTAAATTGCTCATCTAAGAAAATATTTTGAAGTCTAAAAAGATAGTTATAGTTTTTAGATGATAATATAAATTATAATAAAAATTGTTTAGGTGTGTGCCACTAACGCCTGGTTTACAGGTGTGGTAGGAGCACATTCTTTTAATCCCAGTATTTGGGAGGCAGAGGCAGGTAGACCTCTGGTTTTGAGGCCAGCATGGTCTTCAGATCTTCAGAGTGAGTTCCAGGACAGCCAGGGCTACACTGAGAAAACCTGTTTTGAAAGACAAAAAAAAAAAAAAAAAAAAAAAAAAAAAGTTACATTGTATTCTTGATATTTCCATAGCATTTTCTAGTTATTGTTGTTTTGAGACATTTTTCTGAGTCAGCCTTAAAGCCTTTTTCAGGTAATTTTCAGTCCATTTTCTGTATGAAAACGGTGAGCAAGCCTTCCCTTGACTGCCACTTTTTGTTCCGATTCAGGGTGCTTGGGAAACCCCTGCTATATCATTCATAAATTAAAAGGAGCTGCAGTGTTCTTTAGCTACTCTATAGTTTTCTGTACAGATCTGGGCTCTCAGTTGTTTCCCAGATCCAGAATTCATGGGCTACTCCTATCACACAGATATATATATATAGATATAATCCCAGAAATATATTTTTCATAGTTAAATTTAAAAGGAATGTTATTTTTTTTCTTATATCTAGGAATTGTTTTTGTTATTCAAGGATTTGTTAAGCTTTTAGATTTGTTTGTGGGTCTGTGTGTGAGAGACAGATGTCTGAAACAGAATTCTTTTGGTTTCTACCATTTATTTTCACACATAGTATGATTACCTATCTATATGTTTCTTATATTTTATTATGTTGAATTTCTTTTCATTCCTACTTTGGTGCTGTTTTTGCACCTTTGTTACAGTTTAGTCATTTCCATTAACTGATTTGAAATAACAACCATGACACTAGTAGCTCTCAAGTCATTGACTAGATGTGTAAAAAGCATCTTCTCTGTGACATTCTGCACAAAACTAGTAAAAGCCAGAGGCTAACCCATGGGAAATACTATAAATTTTTATGTTAGTATTAAACAATACAATTGTAAATTCTAACAGTATATAAATATTGCTACTAATTTTAAGTTTGTGTGAGATTTTTGGTTGACTATAAATGTAACTTGAAATATGGCCGATGTGGTTGTTGATGTTGAGTGTAATCTCAATACTGAGGAGGTTGAAGCAGGAGGTTTGCAGCAATTTTGAAAGCTAGTCTGTGATAATTAGTGAGTTCTAGGCCAGCCAAGGCTACAGATTGAGGGCTAGTCAGAAAAGAGAGGAAATAAGAGAAGGGTAAAGAAAGGAGCACAAGGGAAGGAAGGAGGAAGACAATGAAGGAAGGGAAGGGAAGGAGAAAGGGAAGGGAAAGGAAGGGAAGGGAGGAAACTATTAAGTACAAAAGAATTAAGAGGGTCTGGAGAATTGTCTGAGTAGTTAAGAGTACTTAACTGCTCTTATAGAGAACCCAGGTTTGGTTCCCATTTACTACCATAGTGGCTCATAACCATTTGTAACTCCAGTTCCAGAGGATGTGATACCCTCTTTTTGTGTCATGGGCTAGCATATGGTACACATACACAATCTTGGGCACACACATGTACATATAAAATTAATAATTTTAGATATTCAGATCCCCATAGTCCTCAATTGTAAAAGCATAGGATCTGGTATGAGGGAGCTGGCAACAAATTAAACATGGATCATTCTAGGTTACTAGCCCAGAATGCTCATAGTGGACCATAACATTTGCCAAGATACAAGAAGATTGGAAGAAGAATAGAATATTTAATTCAATATACGTTGAATAATTACAAAATTGAATAAGTACATCTGGAGTTCTCATGAGAAGACAAAACAGGATCTTTAGTATATTCCCTTAGTCCTCTACCAAAGAGGGTTTTTTGTTCTCTTTTCTCCTCTCCCAGGACGGGGAACTAGTGTCTAGTTGTTTTAAATCAAGGATTCTGCCAAGCCATCCTGCAATACATGAGACAGCCCTAGCAACACAGAATAATCATGTGTAGATGTCAGTATCGCTAAATTTGGTACATTTAGAGCAGTCATCTTGCTGGAAGAAGAAGACTGGGGCACTGAGGAGGAAAAGCAGTGAAGAGAAATAAAGCTGTGAGGCAATAACCCAGAGAGGTCAAGAGAGGACTCAGTGATATCATAAGGCACCTGACTCAGCAATGCATACCCAGATTTACCCCATAAGAAGTGCTTATGCCCATTTATTCCACACTCATTGCAACTAATAATCTTTCATTTCTGTGGATTTCCCTATCTTAGATATCTCACAGAAATATAATCATTTTTATATGACCTACTATGACTAGCTTCTTCTACTTAAAATGTTTTCAGGATTCCTCCATGATAAGCCATGTAGTAGAACTTTGTTCCACTTCTATTGCTGAGTAATGTTATCTGCATTTTTACCTTATTTGTAAGTTGCTTGATATTTGATTATTTTTACTTTAGATTACTATATAAATGATATTCCTATGAACATGTGATTGCGTGAATACATCTGAGTGAATATGTATATTAATTTCTCTTGTATATAACTGGGGGTTTAATTACTAGGTTACATAGTTAAATTTGTATTCACTTTTGAGAAATTACTAATCCAAAGCGATTACTCTATTTTACTCTCCCAAGAGCTATTTTGAGCACTCATTTCTCCAGACCCTTGCCAACATGTAATTGTGTATTATTCTGTATAGCTTCCTAGTGAATATGAAGTCAGCTTCTATAGCTACAAAACTTCAAAAAATGGCCAACCCTCATTAATGAAATGAGCTCCAGTTATCTAGCATTAATCTCTCTATAATCTCAATTTTAAAAATTGTACTGGTCCAGGCCATAATTTTTTTTCCAAACAAGTTCTACTGGCCTTGAATTCCCCTGCCTTAGCATCCTTGGAAGCTGTGACTACAAGCATGTACCACGTGCCCTGAAGCTTGTGACATAAATGCCCATTATCATGAGATTCATATATCCAAATGCCATCCTAGGACCATGGGTGCTTCAGATTGGGTTAGTTTTCCATACTGTAGGTTAAGTTGGATTTGTGGATTCTTCTGAATGCTGATTGTTTTTGACATAGTTACTATAGGAAAAGGGGATCTTTTTTTTTTTTTCACTTCACATACTTAAATGTGACTGTTTTAGAACATATTGATTTCAAATGAGAAATCTGCCCTTGCTGTAAGTGAAAATAAATGAGGACTTTAACCTGGTGTCAAGAGGTCTTAGGTTGACTTCATAACTTGTATAATGGGCAACAGCTTTAACAAAGTAGCACTGCCTTTTATAAAAATTAGAATTGCTAAAGCTTTTTGAAATTCTATTTTATTACAAATAGAAATTGAAAAACTAGGGGTTGAATATAATTTAGAAAGATAGATAGATATCAAAAGAAAGGAGAAAGAAAAGGTAGCAGTTGCTTTTCTGGTGGTTCATTTGGGTTCTAGAACAGCAGAAAGATGCTTTCAGATCTACCTCCTAAAAAGCCAGTGTTCCATATGCTTGAGACCATTGCCAGCTCTGCAATGAGCTACGTTATTCCCTGGTCAGGTTTGCCTTTGGATAATAACGTTATAGAGAATTATGTTATAAAGGGATCATCATGATCATGGTTGATGCATGGTTTTTGTTCCTTTAATCCTGCACTGCAACTGATAGAGATTAGTTTAATAAGGTAGTCCATGTCCCTTCCCTTAAAACTATGTATTTAGAAATAAAGACCAGGAAAGGGAAGTTCTCAATACGACTTCTTATTGCTCACTCGCCTACGCATAATATAATCATGGGCAATTTATTGTCTGAAAAATAAGTTGACGACTACCTTTTTCTACCTCTCATTTCCATGGAGTATTAAGAAGATGGTTGTGAAATATGTATGAGTCCCATTCTCCACCACCCCCATCTTTCCTTGCTTTTAAAAGTATTTCTTATTTGAGTGTTTAAATTTAAAAAAGCTTGTTGTCAGTTGCCAGTGCTTTTGAGCTTACTATGATGGTGTGACAGATGACAGGGCACATGGGGCATTTGGGGCATACATGCCATGGGTTTAAAAAGAGATGGTCTTCAGAAGGCAAATTGGAGTTAACATTGAGGTGTTATCTCTCTGGAGATTTCTTGTGCATAAAGTCCAAAGTTTTGTTTAACATGACCTTAATACTTCATACTTTGTCATCAGGATATGCACTTCTTCCTGGTTAAAAAAAAATAAATAATAAGAGATACAGTTTGTTATCTTGATATGTCTTTGTATGTTGAATTTTTACAGCTCTCTACTCAAGGAGATGCCAGCCAGGTGATTGGGCCTCTCACTGAAGGACAGAAGAGAAATGTAGGAGTGGTGAATTCCCTGTTTAAGTTGTACCAAGCAGTAGCAAAGGTAACCTTTATCTTTATTTTACAAAGATAAATATTTAGAAGACCGGAAGGATGCTGAACCTCTAAGCCAGGTTTCGTAGTACATGCCTATAATCACAGAACTTGGGAGGCTAAGGCAGAGGCATAGGGGTGGGGGGTGGAGGGTAGGGTAGGCCCTCGTGAGCTACAAAGCAAGACCCTTTCAACAAACAAAATGAGAGAAAAGGAGCGACCACAACAACAAAAATCAAAAGTGATCTTCTTTTTCTCCTCAAAATGTGAGTGACCTTTAGCATTAATTTTCACATGTAATCTTATGCTTTGGGGTAATTTCTAAAAGTCTTTTCATTGGTCTGTATTTCTGAAACGTGTATTTTATACATTGATGAAGTATATTCTGAAGAATTACCAGGTAGGCTTCAGAAACACGAAAATGACAAGATGTATTTAAGGGTACCCAACCACCTTCCTTTTGTCACTTTTCTGTTGTACCAGGGGCCATTAGTATGCTCCTCATTAACCTGATTTCAATGTCATTATTAATATTTGTATTGATTTGTATAAATGCAAATGTCTGAATTTCATATCTTAATATTTGTGAAGATAATAGTCAGCCTAAAGAAAAGTGAATGTTTTTAAAGAGATAAGTAAATATGGCATTCTTCTGACCTTTATCTTATCAGTAAAATTGAATTTCTACTGGGGAATGTCTGTTTGCTTTGTACATAAAAATTTTCAATGGACTCGTTTTTAAAGCAGGTATGAGATACTATTAAGTAAAGATAATATTTTAATGTATCGTCTGGGAAGTTTGTCATATTATGGTAAAAATTAGTGTTTACAAAAATAAATGACATAATCAAAGTTGTAACTGCATCAAACTCTGTTCTAGGTGGTTGCCAGTCAGGGCTCATTCCCGTCAGCAGCTGAGCAAACTGTAATGTCAGCCCTAAAGGTGAGCAGATTTAATCTTTGACTTTATAGATATCAAAGCAACCCTAAAGTTGTTTGTCTGGGCAGAAGATAATTTCAGAATAATTCAGTATGACCTATATATACTCAAAATAGCACATTGTTAATTATTATGGGGAAGAAATACATACATGTTACATGTTTACAATTTCCAGAATTTAAAAATATGCTCTTCTAGTTCCAGGACAGGCTCCAAAGCAATACAGAGAAAACCTGTTTCAAAGGAAAAAGAAAAGTGCTCTCTTGCTCTCTATAGATTATGTTTGACTTAAACTAATTGCATATACTGAGGAGTTTTTGTAGTATTTCCTGTTATCTTGTAGCAGTTCCTATTAACATCCCAAAAGAGTGGTTCTTTACCAATTGACTTGTCCTTAAGTGCTGTCTGACAATATTGGAGACACTTGGGGTTCTCATAACTCAAGGTGGGATTCTACAGAATTCTAGTGAATGAAGGCCATGTTCTAAGTATTTTATAATGTAAAGACAGTCACCCCACAACCCAGATTCTGTCCCAAATGTCATGAATACCAAGGTTTCAAAATCCTCCTTCTGTAGGAAAATGTAGTTAGGGTATATTCTCATTTTAACATATGCCAAGAGAAAATACTTCTCTTCTAATACTCAGGAAGTTAGGGCTTGTTTGTTTTTGTTTTGAAATAGTGTCTCACTGTGTAGCCCTGACTGGCCTATGTAGATCAGGCTGGGTTTGAACTCACTGAGCTGTGCCTCCCAGCTAAGATCAAAGGCATGTGCCATCATGCCTAGCTTTTAAGAAGTTTAGTAAACATTAATTTTGGTGTAAGATTCAGAGGCTTAAGTACTTACAGTAGAAAACTTTAACTATCAACCAAGTTAGACACTCTTATGACAGTAATAAATATGTTTCATCTATCAACACTTCTTGCCAGACACATGCAGGGGAATATACTTAAATAGTACAGTAATCTTCAAGTTTTACCGTATTGTTCCCATTTTGTATTAGAAACAAAAAGTTCTCATAGTCACAAGCCTGATAAACTCAGATCTTAGTGCCCAGAAGACATGCACCACTGGACTTCGCTGCCTTGACTCACTCATTACCTTATAATTATTACTTGATGCCCTATTAACAGATTCTGAAACCACACAACTTTTTCATCCTATCTCAGCTATCTAACCTGCTATAATCTTGGTCAGATTAATCCACTCTCCTTGACTTAGTTCCCAGATTTATAAAATGCTACTATATACCCATGTGTGATAACAAATGTGAACTGTTAGGTTGGGTTTAGATCATTAAGAAAAATGATAGAGAGATAGATGAAGGTCTACAATTAAACAGTAGGGCACATCCATTCAAAAAGGCATTGAAGAAATGAAGAACATTGGGAGAAAAGTCATAAATCTTAAAGGAAAGGGGAAATTTAGAAGCTAGATATAGTTCATAGGTTCTGTTCCTGGGGCTGAACAAGTAGCAGTGTAAGGACATACATTCATATGTGCAAAGATCTGATGTGTTAAGAATGACATGAGAGACATTTGCATGTTTTCATGTCCTCCTTTTCCTCAGTGTGGTTATCTCATTACTAAACATTATGGAAGCTTCCATAGTAAAATTATTGTTTTTAGTAAAAGTTTTTAAAATTATCGATTATCATACTGTAAGATTGGACCAGAATAACAAACCTGAAGGTTCTACAATTCTTGGATGCCAGCAGGGGACAGATGATCATCATTTCTGTGCTCCACATTGTCCTCTATCTTCTCAGGAGAGCTAGCTAACTTCTTTTTTTTTTTTTTTTTTTTTTTTTTTTAATAAACAGTCATTGCATTCTAACAAGCATGGGGATAAGTGGCATTTAATCACTCTGGCACAGATATTCTGATCCATTTTTGGTGAGCTTGTCTCATTACAGATAGTGACTATTTCGCTGGATTTATATATGGCAGTGCCTCACATCTCTTTTATTGTGTGGGTTTGATGTTCTCTAAGAGAATATTCCAGATTGTTGAGGCTCTGATATTTTTATAATCATAGCTATTTTAGGGAAATCCTTTTAAAATGTATAACAGACTTCCTTAATTTGTAGAGAGCATATGGAATGTAACATGATCTCCTTTTGTTTCTTTGGGTAATTATTTATCCATGCCCATCTTTGATATGCTAGCAGTCCCCACGATGCTTTCTCTTGCCCCTCTTTTTCATTGTCCTAAGCGGAAGCCTCACCCAGATATGAAGTTTCTATTAGTTATTTAAACTGAAGAGTTTTATTTCTTCCTTTTTTGTAATTATGCTGTTTTTCCACATCCTATTTCTCTAGTCACATACTCTATTTCCACTAGTCGCATACTGAATAGAACTGGGCTCCATTAACTGTTCCTGGCCCAAAAGAATTAATTTATTTTATTATTGTTAATGCAGTAATCATGATAAGGTTTGTAATATAATGATGCAACTTTACAGTTTTTTCATAGATGACCTTTACCAAATTAAACAAAGTCTCATCCATTCCTAATTTACTGGAACTGTTAAATAATCAGTTATATTGTTGCATTAGATAGTCTTAAACAATTGAATTAAAGTGAAATTTTTGTCTCTTTACTCTGTTAATTAAGTACATTACAGTAATTTACTCTAAATCTCATGCACTTGTCTTGATATATTACCCTTGTCATAGAGTGCTTATTTCTCTATCCACAAAGGATATTGGTATATCATTTTCTTCATCACTACCTTATTCATTTATCAACTTAATACTGGTCTCAGTAAATGTCTAAAAGGCTTTTATATTGCATGCCTTTTTCCTCCAATGATAGGTTTTATTACTAAAGCCATCTGAGCTCTACTTTTCTTTGTAGGGAAGTTTATGACTACATTATTATCTGTTTAGTATATTAATGACTATTTGGGTTATTTATTTACCTTTTAATGACTTTTGAACGATATAACTTCCCAGGTATTAGTCTATTCATCTAAGTCATCTAACTTATCAGCATAATGTGCCTGAGTCACTTGTTATCCTTTAATATTGTAGGACTGTTAGTGACAGTCTCTCTCTCATTTTTATATTGTTGATATGTTTTCTTTTTTAATACTAATCTAGTTAGGATTTTATCAACTTTGTTGATATTTAAATTACCAGAAAGCCAGGCAGTGCCCTTGGAGCCCAGAAGAGTTTGTGAAATCCCCTAGAACTAGAATTACAGACAGTTGTGAGAGACCATATGGGTGCTAGAAATCAAACCGAGGTCCTCTAGAAGAGCAGCCAGTGTTCTTAGCCAATGAACTGTCTCCCTAATCCCTCTACCTTATTTTTAAAGGCAGACTCTTTCACTGAACCTGGAGCTCATTCATTGGCCAGACTTGCTGACCAGTGAAGCCCAGAGTTCCTGCTGTCCCTGGCCCCATTCTCATAGATGCTTTCCATAGATACTAGAGATCCAAACTCAGGTCTTCACCCTATGTGTTAGGTACATTACCAGTGGACCCATCTCCAGAACCTTCAACTTTCTGTCTTTGACTTGTGTCTCAAGGTTTTGCTTTGTCTTGTTTTTTTGTTTTGAGTCCTTGTATTAATGGTTGTTAGACCCTGAAACAGCCAAAATAAGCATTTAAACTTGTACATCTTCATTTGAAGCACCATAGTTTTCATCACTTTTGTCTTCATTCTGCTTGAAGTATTTTGGAAATTTCATTTTGTGGTTTTTTTCCTTCAGTCTATGAATTATTTAGAAGCTCCTTTTTTTTTTTTTTTTTAAATTTCCAGGGTTTTATTGTCATATTTATCTTACTGATTTCTAATTTAACTGGTGTCAACAAGCAGGTTTTCCATGTTGCTTGTTCTGTGAAATTTAATTAGTCTTGTTTTCTGACTTGTATTTTGTAGTCTGTGTGTGTTGTATTTTAAATGGGTATAGAGGTAGCTTTTCTAACTTGGAATATGGGTCATTTATAAATTAGCTATGTGTGTATAATAGCAATTTATAATTTACTGTTGTTGGTTGTAGTATATCATTTGGCAGGTTAATAACAAGTGTAAAGATATTCCATGTCTCAGGGCATTGGTAGCATATCCCAGCACTCAGGAGACAGTGGCAGGCAGATCTCTATGAGTTCAAGGCCAGCCTGCTCTACAGAGCCAGTTCCAGGACAGACTCCAAAGCAATACAGAGAAACCCTGTCTCAAAATACCAAAAAGAAAAAAAGAAAAAGAAAAAGATATTCCATGTCTGACACAGGCCTTTAATCCCAGCATTTGGGAGGTAGAGACTGGTGGCCTGGTCTACAGAGCTAGTTACAGGACAAGTAAGACTACATAGAGAACACAGAGAAACACTGCCTTGAAAAACAAACAACAACAAAATCCCTTTTTATGTGTTTGTTCTGTCAATGGCTGAGGTAGAATCAAAAGTATATACTTTTGTTATACCAAGTTCATGAGACCCCCCCCACCAAAGACCACCAAGGAGCTGACTTACCGATGCAACGGCATGAGGTTTATTGTTCTGTCTAACCGTGGCAGGGATCCTGTCTAGTTAGCTCATGCTGGCCTGAAACACACCAAAGGTCTGCCCTGCCTTTGTCTCCCAAATGCTGGGATTAAAGGTGTGCATCACCATACCTGGCTTCTTCCTTCTTTTTTATTTCTATTAATTCTTGTGTCGTCAGTTTTGAAACTTGATGGCTGTGCTGTTGAAGGTTTGTTATATATGTATTTATCATTATTCCTTGATGAACTGACAATTTTACTGTTAGAAAATATCCTTTTCAGCTTATTGCTTTGCATTCTATGTTAGCTAATTATAGTTAATCTAGTTTATGTATGCTAATGTTAGCAAAGTATGTGTCCTATAAAATTGCTTTGAATGTCTCTGTGTATTTTTGAATTGCATCTGTACAGACAGTATATAGCTGTGCCTTCTTTTCTCTTTGTTAGTAATCTCTGCCTTTGATGGAGTATTTAGTTCATTATCAATGCAATCATTGCCTAGGTTTTATTT